GGCTGGCTGGCTGGCTGGCTGGCGGGCTGGCTGGCTGGCTGGCTGGCTGGCTGGCTGGCTGGCTGGCTGGCTGGCTGGCTGGCTGGCTGGCTGGCTGGCTGGGGCTGGGGGGATTTCCTGGCTACAGTTTTGACACGTGAACTTGAAATATCTTCATCGCCTTCACTCATCCGACATAGCTACAGAGAGCACAATCAAGTCACGCATAGCAATTTCGGGGCCCAAGGATCAGAATAGGGTTTTGGGGTGTATCATACTCAAACACATGAACAAATCCTTGGGATACTCGTGCTAATTATTTTGGCCCCTGTATTCTGACACTTTTGTTTGTTCGGCGACTTTGCAAGAAATCCTAAAAACTATGCCGCTCACAGCTGGCTGTCGAAGCACGTGCTTCGTGACATGGCTTTCGGAGCAGGTGGAGCTCTTCCCGTGAGGGTTGATAAAAATGGACATTTCAGTATGTCACAGTATTGATGATAATCAGACTAGCAATAGTGATCGTAATGGTAGTAGTAACCACAACAACAATAACACTAGCGCAAGTAGCAATAACGGTAACAATGTAAAGCAATCTTCATCTCCATCATCATCGTCGTCATCATCGTCATCGTCATCGTCATCAACATCATCTTCTTCTTGATCTTAACAGTAATCATACGAATAAGTAATGATACTGACAAGAGTGGGGCTTCTAGATTCTAGCCCCCTGCAACATTTTGAGGGTTCCTTTAAGGGCTCTATGGCTCTCTGAGAGTACAAAAGGAATTTAGGGTTTAAGGGTCCTGAACCCAAAACCGTAATAAGCTTTGATGTAGGGCATCATTGCATCTTCTGCGAAGCCGTGTTGAACCGTGTGCAGGCCTGGAAAGCACCAGTACAGAGGTGCAGCAAGGAGGAGTCCAGTGATGAGGCGCTTTCTTAGGGGGAAGCGATTAGAGGGCCGAGGGTTTCAGGCTTAGGGTTCAGGGTTTGGCCTGCATGGATGGATGGATGGTATGGCATGGCATGGCATGGCATGGCAAGATTTTGGACGGTGCTGAAACAGGCGGAACGACTAGGATGGATCTTTTAGGGTTGAGCACAGTGCTGCCCCGATTCGTCGGCTACGTCGCCTGGGTCAGGCGACGAAGGAAGTTGCGCCCATTCCCAGCAAAGTCTCCCATCACTGCCCCCATGTTCATCCCCCCTAAGGCTCCATGTACTTGTAATTGTAAAGTGTATATTTAAGCATTAAACTTCCTGTATAAGAAGCCACCATCAACGATATAGACTACATAGGTACATGGAGCCTTGGGGTCCGAAGGGTATGGAATCCCAGGAGTGGGGTGTTCATCGGCATGGCATGGTATGTCTGCATGTGTGTAGACATACATGACAGACATATATACATATGTATGCATAGATGTATGAACAACATGTGTATATTATTTGTGTGTATGTATGGATGTACATACGTCCTGAGC